TGCTCGGTGCTCGGTGCTCGGTGCTCGGGAGGCTCCGCGTTTTGCCACCAAATTCCTGGCGTTCGTTAGCCGAGGCTGCAACGCTGGCCCCAGTCGGTCCGGCAGCGCCACCGCCTCGCCTGGGCTGGGAGCTGCCCCTGTCGCTTCGCTTTCTGTCTCTGTGCCTGCGGTAGAGAGTCCTGCTTAAAGGTTGTAGCCCCCTCTCTACTGCCTCCGTGCCTATGCGCACCTCCACGCGCATCTGTATGTATATGCTGGCCTTCACTTGCTACAGCAGCCTTTATGCACGGCCATCTCTCCCAGAAGCTTTCCCTACACAGCTGGTGTCTCCTTCAAACCAAGGCCTGTGTGCTGTTCCCTCCCTCCCTCGTTTGAGGTGCTGTAGGAGCAAAAATGGGGCCACCTACTGCTAGAGTGTCGGGGACAGATTGCAAAGCTTTTGTGCTTCAGTAAGTTCAGTGCTTCACTTACATAATGAACCAATGACCAGTTTTCTTCTTTTCTTTATTTTTTTTAAGCTAAGTCCCTTTTTTCTTAAGCTAGAAGAGATGCTACACATGCTGTGTTGTAAGAGGTAGTTGTAAAACTTATTTGCAGGTAAGCATGTCTTCCAGGAAGTAAAAAGAAAAGGTGTAATAAATGCAGTAGTCAACTAACCAAAATCTAAATAAAACTATCAAAGAATCGTGATGAAAGCTAAGTAGCTGCAGCGCTGCACACTGTATGTTTGCAAAAGAATGAGACTTGCAACTCTAAGCTGACCCGATGAGGAGGGCTGTACAGAGGCCTGTTGTCTCCTGATGTTAAATTGTTCTTGGTTTTGACAAGGAAAAAAGGCGAGAGGTGAATAAATGTGCCTGTTTTTCAGACCTGTGCAAACAGCTTTGTGCTTCCGTGTTTGGCTTCTTAGTGAGATGATATGCCATCTGATGTTACAGGATGTAGCTCAACTCTTCTGTGTGTCCTGTGGCAGTCTGGGACTCAACAAGAAATTTGCCTGTTTGGGAATATATTTTGTAGAATTTAAACGCATTAATTTTGCTGCAAAGTTGTTTTTACAGGGACGGCTAACTGGCATAAGTGGAATTTTATTCTTTCCTACCCTACTTTTGTGGTAACTGTAGAAGTCAGTAGGAATACAACTTTATTTTTTTTTTTCTCAGAATCCATAGATGTGGTTTTAAATCACCTTGTCTGGTACAAGTGATTGGGAGTTCCTGCTGAGCAGCAGGTGCTGAAATAGGGTAGTGTCTATAAAATACAGGACTGTTTTACCAGTGGCTCCCCTCCCTTACAGCCATACTTTCCTCTTCACTATCCCATGATTGATTGTCATTTCAGCCTGATTTGTCCTTTTCTTTAAGCTCTCCAGAATTATTGGAAAAATTTTGCCATATGAGCTGAGCTGTTTACTATCCCACTAATAGTAGCTTTTCATGGATAGATACATATTTTTCTCATTGGATGGTGTTACGAAAGTATGGATTTTTTGGACTTATTTTTCTTTCAGCATCAGGGAGGCATGGTTGGATTGAAAGGGATAGGATTTGAAAATTTAGCCACAAGGAACAGACAGCTGTTTAGATGCTGGTGGCCAGCCATACCAGGCTATTACAGGGAAGAGCTGACAAGGTCAGCATGGGATAGGCAAGACTTAGGCTTTCACTGGTAAGGTGTGCCTCTGAGAACAGAACAGAGGACTCAGAAAAATTAATCCACTTAAGACATATCCCAAACAACTCCCTTTTCTTCTGGACCTGAAGCTCACCACATGGGGGACAGCAAGAATGTTAGGAGTAAGCTGAGACATCTTGGTGAACTAAGGGGGTCTGGTGGCACTGTGAGTGACTGGTGGAAGTAGTTGAGGCCATGACTGAAGCCGCCTAGTTTGCATCTTAATGGAAAGAGTTTCCTACTTAGAGGTCATTCTGGAGTTGCATTTCTAGCTTTGCAGAGAGCTTTCTGAATATGTTCCTCTGCCTGTTACTATTTGCTTATCCCCCATGCTCATTATCCACAGGCAGCTTCTGGAGGCTACTGTATTTAAAGTTTGCCCTCTGGTTGCACTACTATAGGTACATTTCAGTTACATCTGTCATGATGTTTCCAGTTTATAACAGTATTAATTACAAAGGTTCATTACTGTGCAATAGGTTGAAGTACTTCAGTTTAAAAGAAAATTAAAGACTTTGACTCAGATCCTGAAAATGTTTATAACTGGGAACTATCCCACTCAATTGAACTTGTAATTTATAGAAAGTTTTATATTTAAATGTCTACAGGGCAAGTCACTTTGCATGTCAACTACAGTAATCTGTTTGTGAATCTTTTGGCCTGTACTGAAGTTATTTTCTCTGCTTATTGGCAGATATCAATGAATTAACAACTATAAAACAAGAACTGAATAACAGAATTTCTGTTCAATCAGCAAAGTTGCTTCGTCTTCTGAAGCAGAGAGACAGGCTTGTACACAAAGTCCAGAAGAACTGCGATATTGTCACTGCTTGTTTACAGGCGGTTTCCCAGAAACGATGTAAGTACTTTCTGTGTATGTATGTTCTAGTGCAAGTAGTTTATTTCATTAATGTGGGCAGTATTTCAATTAAGGCCTTGCACCCAATTTGAAGTCAAGAGGCCAGGCTGTGGTGTTGTTCCTTAGATATGACCAGCTTCCAGCGATGTCAGTGACACCTGGGAACAGCCAAAGTTCAACTAGCTCAGCTAGGGATGCTGCCATAGCCTCAGCTTTGTGTATTGCTGTGGCACCCTTACTGTAGGTTGTATGCCAGGCGTTTTCAGCTTTAATTCACAGAAAGACCAAGTTGAATTTTTTGGTGTGCATGCTGTGTTTGTGTGCTTCCATATGGTTATAAGGGAGATGCTATAAGTGGAAATTCTTCTCACTGGAAACTGTAGACAGCATATGCAATTGTCCTTCCAGAGCATCATTAGCAGTGTGTAACTCCTTTCTGTGGAGTTGATTCAAGATGAGGAGTATTAGTAAAAACAAATCTAGTTCCCTCAAACCTCTTTATCAGCACCTGTGATTTTGGGGTTTCAGACAGCGTGCATGGGAGAGGAAAAATATTGCTTTTTAATCGTTTAGCCTTTTCTTCCAGCACAGTGAAACCTTTTTATTTGACTTGGCAAAACTGTCATTTAAAGATAGTCTGAAGTGCTTTTATTAGTTCTGCTAAAGTGAAACTGCATATAATGCCACATGTAAAAACAAACAGAAATTATAGCTTCAGAAAGGACATGTGAAAATAACCTAATGTTCCCTGTCTTATTTTTTCATTAACATGCAGCGTGACAGGTACAGAAATGTTCAGGTATGGTAACTAAAGCATGGTCTTTTCACAAAAATGCCTGTAGGAGCTTTGAAGTGCATGTACAAATTTTATTAAAATATTCTTACTGTAGTGGCATGTGCTAATGTAGTTTAGTTAAGGGTTTGTCTATTACTGTGAAACTTAATTTTTAAAAATTTTAAAATGTTCCTTTGTTTTACTTAAAACTAGCATGAAAGTCCTTGTCTGTCATGCACTGTGTAGGCATATTTCTTCTACTTATCTCTTCTCTCTCAACATCAGCTTGATAATTGAGTCCTCAGTGCCATTAACACTTAAGCATATACCGTAGTCTCCTTTTAAATGAGATTACCTGAATTTTTCATGTGTTCATGTATTTAAAGGATTTGACTGTAAATTCTGAAGGTCTTAGCATCCTGACCTTAATTTGTTAGGTACAATCCTATTGACTGAAAGGGATATAGGATTTCATCCTAAATACGAATGTGTTTTTACAATTTTCAGGTACCATTTTTGCACTTAAATTAATGGGGCATTATGTTTAAAATGCGCTAGTAACAACTGAGATAAGTGAAGTTTTAAAGTAATGCAGTTTATTGCTTAATATCCATGCATGTGCAGGCAGGCTTTTGAAGATTATGTGTAGGTTTGTATATTATATCCCTTTGAGATATAGTGTATTTAACTAGTGTTAATTTTCAGCTTGTATTTCTGACATCCAGATGTCTGTATTCCAGGGTGCCAAAAACTTATTTCTTGCTTTAAGATCTAATCCAAGGCCACTGGGAGTTGTTGAGTGACTCCTTTGGAGTTGTTCTGGAATAGACTGAGACCATGTTTTTATTGCTCAGCATAAGTGTTACTAGCACTATACAGAGAATGCAGGAATAAGCTTTTGCTGTAGGATGTGCAACTTTTAATTTCCCGATAATCATCATTTTGAGGCAATATTTGATCAACAGCTGTCCAAAGGCAGGCACAACTGGCTGCCTTCCCTACAACCATTCATTCTTGCCGTTGTACTACTTCCCATGTAGTAGTAGGAACCCCTGTGTGGGTTATAATGAATCAGATCGGAGAGGTGATCTGGTAACATAATTCCTTTTTTCTTTTCTGTAACAGTACCCTGTTCCCAGTTTCTGCAGAAGTGGTAGAAATGGGTACCCAGGAGAAGGTGGTTGCTTAGAGTAGCTTGAGAAGTGCAGCTGCTGAGTATGTAGTTAAGTCCTAAAGTCTCAGCAAAACTGTTCTGCTAACACTAGAAAGATCTATTCTCTCCTCTTTTCACTTTAAAAAAAAGAGCACTTAATGTGCTGGGACATGAAAAAAATGCACATGTCCCCCTCCACCCCAATAGGAGAGTTTTTCTGCTCATTAAAGCTCTTGGAAACTAGATTTTCCATAGACTACCCTCTCATTTTTAAATATTCAGAACATTATTATTAATTTGTAAAAGTTTTTGTTGTTCCAGGTTTTTCTGATGAAAATATAATGTTGTGTGCCATAAAGCTTTATAATGTTCTTTCATGTACAGCATTAACATTATGATATCCTGTAGTACTAAAATCTTTATCAAGTAATTATGGAAAAGTTGTTAATATATTTTTCCTTTTAAAGTATGTTTTCTAGTGGTAAATTAAAATTTCTTGGAGTTGCATTATCATTAATTCTAATATTTCAAAATATAAGTGATTCTTACAACTGTTTTATATAGAGTTTCATGGTATGTTTATACTGTTGTTGCATTGGGATTTTTTTTCCCCACATATAGTGAAATCTCGACTCTAGTTTTAAATTAATCTGAAGTTCACATTCAGATGTTTGAATGCTGCCTTTAAGCAATCTGTACAGACCAGTTGCAAACAAATGCTGTTTCAGGAAAAGATGGAAATTCTGTCTTGATGCTTAATTCTGTCTTTGTCAAACCCTT